CGATGCAGAGGTTGCGCCCCCTCTAGCCAAAATCAGGCAACATTTCTTGCATGTAAACAAACGGTTTAGAACATATATACATACGTACAGCTGCTTGTGATTGGCACTTGGCAAGCTAGAGAGAGAACGACGATCCTCTCCTGCTGTCTTATTCAGCCAATCACAAGCAGCTATACGCATGTATATGTGTTCTAAACCGTTTGATTACATGCAAGAAATTTTGCCTGATTTTGGCTAGAGGGGGCGCAACCTCTGTATCGGCTCGGAGCGAATAGGTATCAAGCACAAATCGCGAATATTGCCTTCTGCTATGCCAGACCAATAGTTCTCGTTTTTCCCTAGGATGGCGCTGCTTCAAAATTGTGCACATAGCGAATAGTTGTACTAGCCCATTCTGTTTGATTTTTTTTGTATTATTTTTGTGAAACTGTTCGAAAATAAAAACAAAAGTTGAATAAAAGATCTTTTCGTGTATGCACACACACAATGAAATGATTTATGAAATAAACAGTTACTAAATTTAGTTACCACTCCCGTCTTTGTATCAAGTGTTAAAAAATGTGGAATACAAAATCATCAAGAGTTTTATCGCGGTATTTAATTAAAATTTTGTGGTGATATAAAAGTAAGAAAAAAAATTGTTTAATGTTCCCTCAGGTTTTGCGGCAGCATCAGATTAGTCTGAATTGAGTTCCGATCAAAAGCATTGATGCGGCTCGCAGATTTTACTAAAACAGCGGGTCACACGAGTTTCCATCTCAAGCTGCGTCATCTCCGCTTGCCCTTAACTATTCAAAGGCAGAGCATCCCAGAACTAAAACGCACCCAAGCTTTTTCTGGTTCCCGCACATGCCGTTTACGACATCGTCCGGCTAGAACGTTCAAATGACCTAATCTCAGACCTTCCCGAGGTGATGATTATTGGTAACCAAGTACCACATATGTACACCCCTGCTGCGAGATTGATGCTGCCGATGTCATCATTGGGAAAAAATAAGCTTATCAAAATTGCGGATTAATGCGTTCAACTGATTTTTTCTTTACTATAATAGATTGTGCATAAAAATATACCAGATACAGCAAATTTGAACGTAGATTTACAAAATTATCAGCGTCAGAAATGCTTTTGCCACATTATAAAACCATAGAAATTCCGTAAAAAAATTCAATTCAATTCAATAAAAAATAATCTATACCTCGATACACGTGTCACACATCACGAGCGTGCAGTTGTTTTCGCAGTGTTTCTTGAAATCACCATCGTTTTCCTCGAGACAAATGATGCAGGTCTCCTCGGAAGCGCGGTTAGACGGTACAGCACTGATAGAACTACTCTGTCCAGGTTCAGAAGGAACTATAGCAGGATCATCGCTATCAACCCAAGGTTCTGGAGGGTCCATCAGCTCAAATGCGTAGATTTGGCGGTTCGTATCGTCCACGCACCTTAAGGGTAAACTATCTTCCTGAAAAATAAAATAAAGATTTGATTGAACGAATTTACAAATTGTTTAGAAAGACTGTTCTTCAGCGTGTAGCTTCGTAATTTAACTAGAAATTACGAAACTGTTCCATTGAAGAATATTACTATGGGAGGGTAGTATCGGAAGTAGCCTAAGCTAGTCAACGTACCACCTTCTGGCCCTCCAATATACATAGAATGCTATGAAATAAAAATTACCAGTATTTTTGCGACGTGGTTCTCCAAAACCTCAGCCATGACGATGCTGGACAATGGTATGCTCTCTTGATTGAGGGTTTTCAAAAGCTCCTCTTTGAGCCTACAGACCTGTAGCTGTTTGTTCAATAAGACGACGCAACGTATGGGCGGCTCACCGTCAGCGGGAATGTAAGTTATCATGAATTGCCTCTCCATCGCGTGAGGCAAAGGTACGGATAGATACATAAAAGGCTCGTAAGTTACAGACACGTGCTTGCAAGCGGCACAAACGACCTGTAAACATATATGGACCATAACCTATTAAGAAGCTGCTTGGAGATGCAACTGTACTTTTTTTTTTTTTTTTACCAAACGTAGTGTCACAAATGTTTGAAGTCTATTTTTAATTAATTAATAATAGACAGGAAAAAGTTGTATTTTACTTTAGGAGACGATTTACGATGTAAGCATATCTTATCAGCTACATACCGACGTACATCTCCACATATTTTTTTCCCCAAACCATTGCTAAATTTCAAAATCAAAGTATTTACCGTGCTTTTGAATTGTCCTTGGAACGTATCGACTATAACGCTTCGATTATCTCGTAGATGCTTTGCCCAGTGCTTGTCAGCCTCGACCTCCTCTAGCATCGCGGTCGCGCCATTTTCGCAATTCTGTAGCGATCTTGAGCACGTTAGACCGCTAGCAGCCAAACCATCCTTTTTGTGATTCTTCTCTTGGTCTTCGAGTCGCATTCGCTTTACATTACACTTTTCCAATCCGCTGTCGTACTCCATCTCGGATACATTGGACACAGCAGCACCTCCACAACACCCAGCAACGCCGCTACTACCGTCGGGGCCACAATTATTCCGCTGGCAATTGATTTCCTTGATACGTTTAACGCTAGCACTTTTATTGTCAAAGTCATGATTCTCGGTAAGGTTGGATTCTAAAAGTATCCGACGGCTGTTCTCTTTGGGAAACTTTTGTGAATCGTAGTATATTTCATTATTGCACTCCTCAGGCGTGACGAGGAAGTTCGCGTTGCTTGTTTTGGCATCTTTAGCAATATCGTAGAGTTTATTGCGGATCTCGCAGCCCAATTGATGTGGCATGTTAACGTGTACTTCGTTATAAATGAAACTGGACTTTGCAGCCTGCAGGTCCACAACGTCCTCGGAGTCTAACGTCTCTTCGTCGTTGGGCAAAGGTGAAATACTCTGAGTCGGCGAGTTGGCTGTACTGTCCAAATCTTGTAGACAATCATCTCTAGGTGAACCAGCCATGGTTACATTAGGACTATTGGGATTCGTATGCGATGTCATGGTCTCGTAATCCATGAAATCGAAATTACTAGGGGGAAGGAAAGTAGCACCAGCACAAAAGTCTTTATCTCCGTTCTGATTATTCGAATTAACATCACTGGCAGTGGTGGCAGTCGCGTTGGGCACGTGGCAATTCTTATTTGTCTTTGCTAGATTCATCTGCTCGTGTAGAGTGTCCAGCAATAGCGCCAAGAATTCTTGACAATCGTGCTGTCTGTAGTCTTTGAATTGCGAATGATACGCGCCGAGGGTTTGTTTAAATTCCGTCGGCTGAAGTGATTTATATTTCCCGGACCACATTTTACTGAGCAGCGTACTAAAGTTCGCCATCAAAGAACCAGGTGGTGGTTCCTTTTCGTCGCCTTCTTGTAAATCGAGAAAGTGACGCAAAACTGGTGGCGTGGCAGTCAGACACTGCAATCCAGCAGCCATGAAGCACGTGTTGCCCAAGTTGCTGAGACCACAGACGCCCGCTGGCAAATTAGCTTCTAAAAAAATTATTGCCAAATTTACTGTAAGACAAAGGTTTCATTACACTTCAGTTTTGAAAGAAAAAAAATTGGACCACGTACCGAGCAGCGAATCATCAGGATTTTCATTAGTATCAGAAAATAAATTTAGTTCTGCAGTAGATGTAGGAAGGAAAGGCCCATGTTCCATTCCATAGTTCACTTCTTGCCATGGACCTTCATCTAATTCTGGAAGTGGACCAACCGAAATGGCGTAGTCCGAGGTAGACGCGTTAGCTTCTGACCTGCAACAAACACGTTTAAATCATATTTCTTATTTAAAATAACAATCTGGTATTTTTTAAGTGGTACGATTATTTTTTAGCAACTACGTTTTCACCAGATTATTTTTACTGAACTGAATACTCTCGAATGATTTACTTACAAATAAGGATGAAAAAAAAAACTCACCACGTATTATCAACGCCCATCTTGGCGTCGTTGGAAGATGCGTTGTCCTCGTGAAGCGTGAGATTGTGATCGAGAGATGTGGTAAGCGGACTGAGCCCGGTCGACTCGGACACCTCAACCTCGTTCACCACCTCGATTGTGTCAGGCAAGTCAGAAATCATCCTGCGGGCGAGAAGTATTCATTTAGCTATGTGCACGCATACTCACAGCCATGGTCACTCAGCGGACGCCACCACACAGGCCACACTGCCACCGCAAACGTGCGGCAACACTCAAACTGATAAAATTATTCAATTTGAAAACGTGGCGGACAATTTCCAACAGCGAAATACAATAATTGTGGCCTTACAATGCTTTTTCCAGGCTTTATCACGAGTAAAAAAAAACTGGTTAGTATAATTATGGTTAAGGACTGGAATACTTGAAAAAAAAAATCTTATTAAAGCTTAGTTTAGTTAAAAAAAAAAAAAAAGTATCATACACCAATTTGTGGATGGAAATAGATATGCAAAATAGGTATCTGAATGGCACGCTCGCGCGAACATAAACGTTCCTCTTACACAAAAAAAAAGTGTAATGCAAGCATTTTAAACCATTGGTAGAATCGTGAAAGATAACGCATACAACTGAAAGAATCAACGCATGCTATGCAGAAAATAAGCATAAATTCACAAGATCGACAAAACGATTTCTCAAAGTATGTCCAGCAGAGAGCCGGAGTAGCAAAGTATAATATCACTCTTTAAACCACCTCTACCTATCTCTCCGTTTCAGAAGTTGGTCCCGTTCTCTCTATTATTAGCATGAAGCCGTGTCTCCTGTACCCACAAGTAGACCGCTTTTTTTGCACATTAGTCATTCACTATAGTGAATAGTATACTTAGAAATAGAAGTTTGTTGATCAATTTCGCCAATATTGACGTAGACACTTATTGTATGTACAGAGCCATGTTAATCTTGAAAGAACTTTGCGAGAATCGTATGGACAAAATAAAAAAAAATGACGTAGAAGAAATTAATTCAGTACAACGTTAGATCGAATCGAGGCACAATCAGCTGCAGCAAAAACATCAGCAGAAGGAGCAGAAGGGTGTCTTTGATTTACCATACAAGGCCAAGCGACACGTGTGACCTTATTAACCAAATACGTAGAGAATGTTTATACATACGTTAAAGTACATAAACGCTCGTGATCGGAAGAACACATTCGTTCCCAGCTTTCGAAAAACCAATTTCTTGGATACATATAAACGTTATATGTGGAGACGTAGGCTTTATTACTCAAAGCGGAAACTTTCACTGTGCAATTGCTTCATTAACACGATATTGTATACACAATTATGTAGACAATTTAATTACTTGTTTCGAAAGTGTGCCACATCAACTGGCAATTGTTGAGCAGGAAAATTAAACTCGTTTTTGGTCAATAAATTTATTTAACATTTGTGATGTTTGTATCGTTTTAAAGATAAAGAACGTAGCTCTGTATCATATGTTTTTTTAGTAACAATTGCAGTGCAAAACTGTTCATATCACACTAGCTGCCCCAATCAGCATGATAAAAGACATTTGACTTCTATAACCTCAATTTAACTGCTGTGTAATTTATGGAAAAAGAGATATATACACACTCGACCCTACACCTAATCAATAAAGTTTTAGACATGAAGTATAATAATACAGTACAGAAAAAGGAGTGTTTACAACGACTTTTAATTTTTTTGATACATCTTTTCACTGTGGTGCATCATAATTTTTATAATTAAGAGAAATACGCAATTTTATATTTTTTAGTATCAATAACGAAAAGTTCCACGTTATTCTGCTCGAAATTACTAAAATTATGCTCCCGAGGCTCTAAAGATACAATAAAGACACACATATGTATAGGTGAAAGGGGGAATCGGAAGCCGCGCCCGTACTTAGTATCGAACATCTCAACACGATTCTGGTGGTAAAAAAAAAAAAAGAAAATTTAAGCACACTTCCGTTCCTTCAAACAAAGGTGCAGATACTAAACTAGATAACTAAATCATGAAAGGTAGGTACGAGTACTTTATATAGTTGGATAAAAAATTTTTTTTTTCAAGTTCCCTTCATCGCTTCTAAATTTCCAAAACCTAAGTATATTAGGTATAGAATTGTTTTTTCCCTTTTACCATCGACAGTACAAACGAAAAGAGAAAAGAGTATACACACATTACGTACAGCCAAAACTTGTCGAGGCGCGTTGAAGAGATGAGAGAAAAAAAGAGGGTAAAAAAAGCATTAGTAACAATAGTAACCATAGATATAGGCACTAACCTCGTGCACGTGGCAGATGAAAACGAGCATGCACCTCACAGGTTATAGATATTTATATTATACACCATCCTCTCTTGTATCTCTATAAGCTCAGCTGCCAAAGCACCGAGTTAAATACTCATATACATGTATGTATATAAGCTATTAGGATTGTTACTTTATCAGCATTGCGAATGCATTAATTTTTCACTTGTGATGTTGTAACGGTTAAATGAATATATATCTGCTAGGTTGCTCCAAAAGGGGGAGGAGTGCCTTTTAAACATATTTCCACTAAGCTGGAGCACTGAACGCGCATGCAAAAGGACAAGGTTCCTGGATCATCTTTGCTTAATCTCAATCTAGATAATTATTTTTTCCTCTAAATATCATAGCTAATCACGTATCAAGGTGTACCCTAATTGAAAATTCACACTAAATATAAAGGTGAAAGTTGGATTGTTCCTGTATGAAATAGCTGTATTCATAACTGACGATTTCTAAATGTTATCACGATACTTACTGATTAGGAATAAATAAATTTTTTTTAAAAAGTCAGCAACAATTAAAATGCAAAGATTCCAGCCTTAACCTATGTAATAGAGAAATTATGTGCTCGACCTAAAATAACCGCCCACGTCGTCAGCATTCCTCTCCTCCTCTCGCCATAAATTGTCCGTCACGCTATACGTTAGTAGCCACGTACATAAATATAATAAGTGTAAAGGAAAAAAAAAAAAAAAAGTGAAATGGAGAGAATGAACAGTTCCAAAAAGACACGTATCACTCACCTCTCGAGTCTTCTTTCTTTTCATCAGCAGCCTCGAGCTTAGCCTGGCCAAGCGTCTCCGAGAGCCCCACGCGATGCTCTCCCCTAAAGCAGATAAGCCCCGAAGATGACGGCGCACCAGCCCCTCCTTTAAGTACCTTCTGTATTTCGCATTTTCGCCGTCGACGTCGTTTTCTTCACCAACTTCTCTCTCCTCCGTTAGCTCGTCGTCCGTCCCTCAAGCCGCCATTGCTCTTGCTGATGCTATACTGCTGCGCGGTGAAAGCCGGCAACGACGACGTCCTCATGCAGCCGCCGCCTCTCGAGAGAAAATCGTGAGGTGATTGGCTGGCTTGGTTTCTTGCGCGCCAAAAAAATAGGAACGTGTCTCTCTCAGAACATATTCAACTTCTTTTGTCATAAAAAAACGTACTCTTTGTATTATTTTTCAATTACTTACTTGTAGGGTACTTGTCTTGGAAGTATAGACGTACTTGGAGAAAATCGTGTCCTTTAAAAAGAATTATACAGAAATATAAAGAGGTTGACGCAATAAAAGACATGAAAAACTCCAATGAAAAGTGCAAGTACTTGCAAATTGATTTTATTGAAAAAAAAAAAAAAAAAAAATTTGTGATAATTTTAAATATATATTTCCATGCAAATACACATGTCTAGATACTTACATGGTACCTCATTGATTTTCAAGTATTGTATGACGATAAAAACATCGTCGTCGATGTTGGTGCACAGGACGTCGTGCTACTCATGGTTGTCCTCGTGCTGCTGTAGCACGACCTTATCAGAGATTTATCCTCTGACCTTCCACGCGCGACGTTCAAGACGAAAAGGAGATTAAGTAGGTGGTAAATGTGAAGCGAGAGCCAATTTCTACTGGTGCATACGAATGTTACGATAAAAAAAAAATTGGATAATGTGTGTGTAGATAATACACTTGCAGTCTTGCAGTGTGGTAGACTGGTAGTGGAGTATACCGGAAGTTAACGGTATTTTGATACGCCGATCGAATTGTGAAATATTCAAGTGCTCATTTATGTTCACAATTCTTCATAAAGTAAAGTTAAGTTTAATTTTTTAAAACAGTATCTTACATAAAGTTGTAAAATTGTCCACGAAAATATGGAAGAAAAGTTTTTTTTCAAACACGCAAAGGAAGTCACGGGGAGGGGGGGTAACTGAGCTCGAACAGCGGGAAACATTTGAACTGGTTCGAATTTAAAACGATTTGTACATATCCCTAATAAGAATACAATTCAATCTCATATTCAATCGCTTTGTATTTTATTTCAATAAAAATTTCTCTCAAAATACATCATAAATAAAAAATAAATGCTTCCTAGTGTTAATCAACAGATACATATTTCCCATCTTCTTCATATATATCCTGCTCATACAGTATCTCATTCAGATCAGACAATCAAAAGATTGAAAACTGTGATAAAAATTAAAATCGAAGGCTTTATCAAAAACCCTTCATTATTGTACGAAAAATTGTAATAACGATAATGATGACACAGTATAAGCACTTCACCCGAATTTGTACAAAAAACCATACAAAATTAGAGTTAGTATATACTTTTTTTTTTTCATTACAAGATTTATTTCATGTATAATTATTAATTGAAATACTCGATTAGGCGGACACGAGCGCAACAACCTTATTTGAGCTCATATTTATATATAAAGTACAGAGAGACAAATGTTTTAATGAAAAACAAGAATGTAACACTTGCGCTCTGTCCTTTTGTATTTTACATGTGAAATCATCATAATCGCACGTTAGATTATACATAGGAAAATTAGTCAGACATTGTCGGTCACGTTTTGAGGCGACATCAACACACTTAGAATTAATGTAATAAAAGTAGAATCATTCTTACAAAAATCTCCAATTTTTGTCACACACACAAAACATTTTTTATTATTTTAATAATTTTTCATGAATAGGCCATTGTTAACCATAGCGCCTATGTATTTTGTTAGCGCCTATAAATTTTCGTTGAATCTAGGGTTTTGTATTTTTTTTTCAGCCTCAAGTGAGAAGGCTCATAGTTCTAAACATAAATACTCTATTTGTAAGGAAAATGTCGGTAAAGGTAAAAAAAAAAATAATAATATACGAAATTGTACCCAATTTCCACAAATATGAAATTTTTTTAACAAACTAACAACTTGCACTTAACTAATTAGTTTATTAATAAGACGTCACATGAGAATTGGAAAAACTATTGCAAGATTTTTAGTAACTTGTAAGGTATATGGCATTACTTAATTGTTATTTGTCAAATTTTAAGTATTTTAAAAGTCTATCACCGCCATTTTCCTTCAAAATTTCGTCCTTTTTTTACATTTAATAAATTTAAAATAAAAATTATAATAATAATTGTCAGAAATAGATTTCTCAGTGACTAGAATATCTTGCAATCGACAGTTTGTTAAACATAATGATCTGCATCTTGAGATTTCACAAAAAGGACGAAATAAACAGTAAAGTAAACGTAAAAAATGACTTTGGTTTACTTTGAAGGAAATTATATTTAAAAATAAAAAAATGAATGCGGCAATTAATTTTAAATTGCGTCAGCCTAAAATAAATCAGAATCGCGTGCTAGCATTCAAATTTTTGTAACGTGCGCAATTAAAAAGTAAACACACAAATCATCCAAACACACAAAAATTAATCATCCTTGTATGAAAATTTTAAAAATCGTTCATCTTGTAACTGAACAATCAAAAAATCAGTCTCAGTGCTTAGATGGTTATTCTATTAACACGTTGCTTGGGCAGCTGAGGCAAGATCTAACACCATTTAAGTTCTAAGCTAATCCTTGGATTCATTAAATTCCATTTTCATCGTTGAACCATATACTTAAAATTTAAGTTTTTCACTTTGAACAACATCAATAAAATTTTTTATCGCCAGCTGCGATAAAAAATTATCAAAAAAGTTTTTTTTTGTTTTAAAGTAAAATCCAGTCATGAAATGCTTGTCGTTTCTGAATTGTGCTGCATAAATAACTATTACAAAAAATTATAATCATAGTTTACTATAAAATACACAATACATAATTTTTCTGCCTTACTTCTTGTCTATACTACATTATATACATCTAACAAGCGTCAGCTTACTATAATCATCATCTCAAATTAGGCATTACTCTTTACTTTTTCTTTTCCATAATTTTATCCATACCCTCTTTAGATCAAAATTTATGCTTTCCCTACATACTTTGTATAATTACGAATGTTAGAATATAGCACACAATACTTGAATTTTTGTCAAATTACTTCTTTATCTCAAATTTAATTACACTTGGAAAGCATATGGCACACTTTTTAGTACATCGATCCTATCTTATTTTCTTTCATATCCCTATGCCTCTGATAATGTAAAAAAATAGCAGGTCGAGGAATATTAATTCAGCATTATTTTATTAACCTCGCGGAAATCGTATTACTTATAACTTTTTTTTTTATGTTAATGGCGTCCACACTTAAAATTGTATGGTTGATTTTTTTTTTCATTCATGGTAACAACAGTAAGTACCTCTTATATATTTTTTCTCATTTTCCCTGTTTTTTGTGTACAATTTAATCGCAGATTTTTAAAAATATTCGAGTTGAAAATCCAGTCTTCAAATTATTTCAGTCTTATGCTATTGAAAAACCTATAGTTCCGAATGGTAAACAAATTTTTAGTGTATAATGCATCGAAATTATCAGTCTTTGCAGTTAAAAAACGAGAAGTACGTTATAAAAAGTAAAAGAAAAGACTGGACTTTCTTTCAGATTTGATAAATCACTATGATTTTCATTTATATAGATACATTTATATTTTGATTATAAGAAACTCTCGTAAAATAATGAATAAAGTCTGTACAGACATTTGTCTGTCATCCAACAATCAATTTATATTTTACTTTCACGAGTAATCGTTTGTGATTTTGCACTTCAATTTTACATTCAAATACACTGTACACTCATAAAAAAAAATTTCTAATTTATAAATCTATCTCTTGAACCAATTTCCCATGGGTGTAATTCTTGATAAAAAAAAAACCAGACTATTTTGAATTGTGTTAATTGAATCAAGTCACAGCAATAAAATTTTTAGATTACACTATGGCATTAAGGGATTAAAGGTATAAACACTTGTATGGCAGTATTTGCGTTGATATCAAAATTTTTTTATGAGCATAATTGCAGAAGTGAACAACAGATTTTTCATAAGAATCCACTGCTATGCATATTGTGCCGTTTATAGAACTTGAAATAGAGGAATTGCAATACTCCTCTACATCAAATTCATCATAATTTAATTTGATTTTTTTTTTTCCATCTTTATGTAAAAAATTGAAGGCAATTTTAAAAACTTTTCTGAGACATTTTAAAAAGAAAACAACTTTCTCCAAAAATTCTCAAATTGTGTAGTGTGTGTAATTTCTCAATGATCATGTAAAACTTGAGAAGTATTACCCACTCGTTCCAAGAATCACTGTGGGCACGAGTGCTACAATTTTTCAGGGCGTGCAAACATCCGTTTCAAAATGATTACTTTGCATACTAGTGTGCAAACTGCTTACAGACTCGTATGTAAAGTACAGTAACTTCAATACAAAGCACTATGCTAGACTCGGACACTGCACACGCAGGGTTTTAAAAAAATAATAAAAAAAGGATTTAAAAAAAATTTTTTTTTTAATTTACACAAAAATTTTAAAGTCTTAGTACCGCTATTAAGACTTTATAATAAAAAATAGGAAAATCAAAACTAATGAAAACAGTTATGATTAAACTGTAAAGTATTATATTAAAAGTAACACGTCAATGAAACTTTATTAGTTAATCAAGTTTGTGCCCTCTTTTTTTTATCTAACTTAAAAATACAAATGCTTTTTTAAGAGCTTGTGTATACGCCTATAGTCGCGTACGCGAAAATGATCGTAGCGTACGCGAAAGATACAATACCATCAGAAATGACTCCCTTGCGAGCTTTGCTCGATCACTTCCATTGTTAATAAATAATCCCTATGTAAGTATTGATACAAGAATTCCCGGTCACATGAATGTGGGAGATTGGTGGCTAGGAACTCTTTCACGAACCGTCTCGCGTACGCGGTATCAGACGTATATATACAGTCTCTTTTTTTAAATATAACTTTGATCTTGCCTGTTCAACATTTTCTTAAAAAAGTTTATAACAAGCTGCACCTTCGTTGTCGGCGTTTCTGGGGTTCAGGTCGCAAAACAGCACGAACTGCTTCATCAAACACTTGTTTCAAGCCACGTTGCGTCAAGGCAGAACATTCCATGTACTTTACAGCTCGAATCTGAAACGGGTGAATAAAAAATGATGTGAAACATGCTCAAAATAATTAATTATCAAATCTAATTGTTACCTTGTTAGCTAATTTTTGGCCTTGTTCGCGTTTAATAGCACTGAGTCCCTGTTCAGCTAATGCAGTCAATGTTTCACGATCGTCTCTCAAGTCAATTTTCGTGCCAACAAGTATCATTGGTGCATCTGGACAATGGTGTTTTATTTCTGGGTACCACTTGCTTGTGACATTTTCAAATGACGATGGACTTGTCACTGAGAAACATATAAGAAACACATCTGTTTGTGGATAAGACAGCGGTCTCAATCTATCGTAGTCTTCTTGGCCAGCAGTATCCCACAATCCTAAGCTCACTGGGATACTATCAACTACCATTGGTGCAGAATAATTGTCAAAGCTGAAAGTAGAAATATTTAAATTCAAATTATTTGGTAAATCAGAATTTTCATGAACTTGAAGAAAAGTTACATGTAATCTTTTCATTCTAAAAAGGTTAGTTTGTGACATGTATTTCTTAAATTTCAAAATAAACAAATCAATTGCATTGAAAAATCAAAGAGATAAATTTATGATTATATCCGAGAGTTTATTTATAAAACGAAACAGGAAGATAGTGAAGTAAAAAGCTTGTATGAAATTAATTGCTTCCTGTGAGTACTTTAAATGACTCACTCTCCTCAAACTATTTATAGATTCTTCACGAATTAAGTACCATGTTCTCAATATAACAAAGATAGCAAATTTGTCACAGTTCAAAAACTGTATGAGTCTATAGGAGGATTTGGACTTACACTGTCGGCACGTATTCGCCAGGAAAACTATCTGTTGTGTAGGAAATCAGCATACAAGTTTTTCCCACTGTACCATCTCCTACAACGACGCACTTGATCGGTCTGCCTGAACTCATGATGTTTTCTTTCTCTGAAATCCCAAGATAGTTTGTGTGACTACTTATTGCCCAGTAATGTACTTTTGCGTAAAATGATGATCAATCTTATGCAACAGTCGTCATTGTACGGATTTTATTAGCACGTCACATTAATGATGCACAGTAGACAGAGCAGTGCAGTGAACTCAATCGCAAGTAAGTATAGATACACACGATATTTACAGTTAAAACAATCGGAGTCATCGGAGACAACAAAAAGTACCTACTATACCTACAGTCTCTTTATACCCTCATATGTACATATAAGAGACAAATGAGCAACATCAACTGTAAAAAAAAAAAAAAAGATTGCTCAATAAAAAAGAGAGAGAGAGAGAGAGCATTAACCCACACATTCGCTCTCTGTATCTGTATATATATTATTCTGCTGTGCAGCCACCGTGCTTATCCCCTCCACAAAAAAAGGAAGTAACAAATCATCATTCGTATTTTACAAAGCCATTTATGGATCCTTTTCTTAAGTAACCCAACCCACCCACACCTTAAAAGAAGTAGATGATGAAAGAAGAGTTAATTTAATAACAATTCTAACAGTTTAAAGGAAAAGAAATAAGAAAAACTTTAAATGCAGGCAATAAGTGTGTAGATAGAATTTGACTTTTGACTTTTGTCACATATCATTTATGTCTTAAGTATGAGTTCCGCAGAAGGGCCCAGGCCCACTAAAACTAAACTTCACACACTCTATCCACATCTTAATCTATGAACAGATCTCTCACACCTCGTTACTTAGAACTCTACTAGTCCGAGGATTCCAAGTACCGATTCAGAACTCCGAAACCAAAACAACGCTCTCTCCTTCGCGTAATACAAATTCCTCACGCTAAAAGGGTACTATATCCCGCACCCTTTCGTAAAGAAAAAAAAAAAAAAAATTGGCACCTCGTAGTATGGACAAGTACTACACTACTCTCGAAATGACGACAGAAGGGCGAAGGGCTCCGAAATTCTTAAAGAGAGCCCGGCAGATAATAACACCGACGACTTACCCGTAAAGAAAGCCGTGCGCGTACTGCACGTACAGAAATGTGCTCTCGTCGTGTGTGCACTCTCGCGCGCGCGGCCAAAGGTTGTTTTCTCTCCTTTCGTATACTTATAGTTTCCGTTCTGCTTAATTTTGTCCTTCCCTTTTTTTTTTTTTTTTTTTTAACTTACGTATGCTATTTCAGGAGAGGCGAAACGAAAAAAAAGGTTATTGTGAACCCACGTTTTTCGTTTCATGTGTTTATATAAATACACCACACGCACCCAACTACCAAGTGTAAAAAAAACCACATATATAAATATACGTGTGGGGCGGCGACGTAGGTCGTCGGGGGGCTTTTTTCGCCTCCTCATTAATACACACCCAAAAGAAACTCACCCCTCGGCTCGGCCCTTCGCATGCAATGCACGCACCCACCCTCGCGTGCGGAACAGTAGGGTAAATACGTGTAGGGGGACAAGCATCGTTGTAACTCCAAAACTCGTCAGCTGATTCTTTTGGGCCATTGGTGCGAGAGGGACACAGCTATTGTTCTCTCGAATCTATCTCAAAAAATCTTTGTGTTGGAAATAGATGGGAAATCGAGAAAAAAAACGTTTACAATTAACTGCAAGACGAATATTTTTCAATGGAAGGTAATTCGCAAAGTTTCATCCAGTAATGACTTGATCGCTCGAAATTCACGACTCGGCAAAAACTAAGTACCCACATTAAATTTGCCGTCTTCAATTGTTCACATATCTTACATTATGATGATGGCACCGCTTCAACGACCTTGGCTGGTATTTATATCAATTAACCATATATACCCGGTGTCAATGAGGTATTGCCTTTTTTTTTTTCTTTTTTTTTGTTTTGTTTTTGACCTAGTAAGTTCGAATACGAACAGAAAGCTGCTCTCCATCGCAAGTGTTGCCACCCCCTCGAGAGACTCCGCGCGACCTGCAAAACTTCCCCTACTACCCCCGTCCCAACGTAGATAGGAGAAGGGGGAGGTTGAAGGGATAGGTAATTCGATAATCGGCCGCTACCGCGCTGCTGGCGCTGGCGCGTGGCTCGATCTTTTACAAGCTGGGGCTCGGCTTGAGCTCCACACCTTGATTGTAATTCAGACCGTTGAATAGTTCATTGTCTCTACGAGTCTCCAACTAGACGACCAAAATGTCAAGTAAGTATCCTTTGTCTAGTACGAAAGCTGGGTCGCGTCCAGAAACCTTGTGCTCGTCCATTTCGCCCAAGGTTTGATCCCACCCGATAGACATAACCAAACTAAACGTGCTGGGCGCGTGTCACTTTTAGAGCGATCCCCTAATACTATATCTATATATGCACGAATACACTCCTACAACGTAGGTAATGGCATGATTGGCATGCTTAGCTGCCAAACCACTTCGGAGTCGTGAGCTGTAGCAACGATCGAACGGTTTATTTGTTTGTTTGGATATCTCTTTCGAATTACTGGGAATAGTTAATTTGTAACACTAATTTCATACGACATACTTTTTTTAAGACATTACCTAGGAAATTTTCCATTTGGGTTTAACGCGAATTTTCTTGTTATAGGCAAACGGAGCAACTGTTTAGAGTCTATATACCTTATATACTTTAGTTTTGCTTAAACATTCAGTTCAACGTTTACATTGTAGGTCTTATACAGTAGAAGTATCTTTGAGGGTTGTAAGGCCGTTAACGTAGTATATCCTTTCACTTGATTGGAAAATAAACATCACCAGATTTTTCGCTCATTCTCGTAAGCCTGTGGTGACCCTGAAACGTGCATTCTGGCATTTTGAGAAAGTTTTTCAAACGGGAGTAAAAAACAATAGGCAGCAAGTCCTCTTACACATACCTATATCTTGTAACAGACATGTCTGACTCACTCCTTTATTTCCCAAAGCCATACTCGTCATTTTTCTTCGTTTGGTTATTAATTTATTACAATAGCTCAGTTTACTGATTAGTCATTACAGATGATTAACTAACGTATCGTTATAATTATTTAATTTCAGGTAAAAAAGGAAAGAAGACTAAGGGAATAACTGTCCCACTTCAAGATTTTTTGGAAAATACTCCATCTGTGTCTATTCCTGCCAAAATTAATTGGGCAGATGATCAAGAGGATGATTGTATGTGAAATTACGTGATTTTTGCAATAACTAGATACATTGGCTACTGTTTTTTATTTGAATGCTTATTTGTTTTCATAGATCCTTACATGTCAAGACCTAAAGAACCTGTTGTATTGCCAACTGCACCAAGAGCAGCTCGCGATGCAACTGTCAATGATGAAAGTATTCCAACAAATCCTCCTTATGTGGCTTACATATCCAATCTCCCTTATGATGTTGATGAGGAAGATTTGCACGAATTCTTTGCAGAAATGACGGTTTGTTGGAGTTAATTCATGAAAAGTAAGGTTTGTCATTTTATATGATTAACGTAATTGTTAAAATACTCCAACAGGTGTCCGGTTTACGTCTTCCTAGAGATGGGAACAAATTCAAAGGTTATGGTTACATTGAGTTTGCAGATAGACAGAGCTTGAAGGATGCCCTGAGCATAGTTGATACAGTGAGTCACTACTTAATTACGATTTCTATATTGCTCAAACCTTAGTTTACTTTCAAAGTTGATTGAATAACGTTCGTAATCGATGCACAACAATAGTTCTAATGTGCATAATTCACCAACATTATCTACAATTGATTTTTACCATGCTATAACTACTATTTGCTTTGCTGGCTATTAAGACACGATGTATTCCGAACTCCCGTAAAAAAAGATACATTTTAACGAAAATCCTTCTACCATACGTAAATCTTAAAGATTTGTTTATGCTTTAGAATTTGAAAGGCCGACGCATCAGAATCGAAGTGTCCAACAATGACGATCGAAGAGGTGGCCGAATGGGTCGAATGGGTGATCAACGACGGGAGTACAGCCCAGAGCGCACCTCAGGCAACTGGCGTACGGATAGAGTTAACGATGGACCGCGTGATGACGATCGCGATGGAGATCGAGGTGGCTACAGAAGTCGAAACTATGAGCGCCGAGACGATAAGGACAGTGGTTTTGAAGACACCAAGTCCAACTGGCGCGAAGGCCCCAGAGATTTTCCTGAGAGATCGAAGCCGTCCTTCAGAGACGCGCGAGACAGCAGACCTGGCCCCGATGATGACCGAGATCGTGGCATGGGTAGCAGGTTCTCTGATCGTACAGGTTCAAGAGGGATGCGAGATGGTAGAGATAACAGAGATGGCAGAGATTTCAGAGATGCTAGAGATGGTAGAGATGGTAGAGATGGCCGCGATTTCAGAGATGGTAGGGACGGTAGTAGAGAAAGGGATGGCGAGAGAAGTGGAGGTTATGGAATGAGACGTCACTTCAATGATGATACAGACAGGGAGAGAGAAAAGGATCGCTGGAGCAGCGTTAGAAACCAAGCAAGCCAACCAAGAGAGCCTCTTGGTAACGACGGTAATATATATATACATATGTATATATTTTTTTTCCTCTACAAGAAATAATATATTTAAACCTAAACTCTTTTAATTTACTGAATAAGTAGAAGGACCACCAGCTCCTGCAACTAGACCCAAGTTAGAGCTGAAGCCACGTTCTAAGCCACTTGAAACTGTTACTATATCTCATCAATCTGATGAAAAGAATAGTTCAGATGCTCCTCCACCCAAATCCTCGGCAAACATTTTTGGTGCTGCCAGGCCTGTGGATACTGCAGCCAAGGAACGTGAAATTGAGGAGCGCCTTGCCAAGTTGGCTGAGACAGAGTATGTTTTTATTATTTATGTTACTAGATTTAATATCCAGTTTCACGGCAACAAAATAATGCTTAGTTCAATTGAAAAAATATATAACTATAAACTCTTCATGCATACATATTCGTTAATGACCTATTTTAATAAAGAAACAAGAGTGTATACTTACATTGAAATATTATTTTATTTGACAGAGTCAAAGAAAAACGTCCGCCTAGAGACGGAGCATGGGGTCGTCGCAACGGGGTAAACATTTTATAAAAGCTTTTTCTAATTTTCAGTATAAAGTGTAATGCTTGCTTTTATTTTCAAAAAATTGTATTGATTACATCGCATATATACTTTTTTGATTAAAGGAGGGTGGTCGTTTGGAACAAGATAGACCAAGTCGACCAACTTGGAGATCACGTCCTGGTATGTAAAATTATTTGCTTACTCATAACTCCGTTATTCGGTTCTATAGTTTTCTTAATATCAATGCAGATGGGAATGATCAACGTGATCATCGAGATTATAGGGACTTAAGAGATGCCCAGAAATCGAGAGAATCCAGTAAGCCAAGAAGCGATTCACGAGGGTCGTCTTCTAGTCGTGGTGGGCCAGTACTACCTCGAGGGCCCTCAAAACAATTCGATAACCGATCCCCACCGGACGGAGCAGAAAAGTAAATTTTAATCAAAAACAATAATTTTTGGCGATGAACACTTACATTTATAATTCTTCTTTTCAGAGATAAAAAGAGAGTTGAACTTACTGATGAAGAAATTATTAGCAGAATGCCAAAGGTTAAGGAAGATGTTGTACCGGTTAGTATAAGGTTTTGTTGATCATATTTGCATTGAAACTTTTCAATAGTATAACTGAATATTGCATGTACTGTTACAGAATATCGTAGCTTCCAACAAATATTCGATGCTGCCAGATGACATTGATCCGGATAATCAAGATTAAGCAAATTGCTCATCGCTCATGGTCAAATACGTCAAAATTTGTCGTGACTGTTGAATAAAATTGAACAAGAAAATATCAAATGAGCGCATACTATAGAAATTAACTTTTACATACACTTGGAATAAAAAAATAATAATTGTCCGATGCAATTCTAGCGATATCTAGGAATTGTTCATTCTTGGATCTCCAGAATAACTGTTAATGATTTGTATTTGATTAGTATAACTATTTTATTATTCTTAACGCGATTACTATTATAATTATAATTATATCTGTTTTGTCGAAATACATGCAAAATGAAGCCAACGCAGATATAACATTTGTACTTTGGACTGAAATTATGTCACAATAAGATTTATTAAATGTATATTAAAAACAAATTAAAGTCAACGAATGATACGAGGAAAAAACTCTTTATAGCGTGAGTAATTGTTTATTAATCTAATTTTGATACTAGGGTGTTAAAAATCTGTAGCAGCGAGGGGCTTGCTACTGTATGACGATACATTGTCCAATGTACAGTTTTCTTTTCAAATATTGTACAATATATGACACGTAATGAACATGTAAATTAATACCATTATTATATAACAAAAAAAACTTTGAAATGATAAATATACTTAAAAAAAGCTTAAAAATAAAATAATTTTTCCTCTCATTTGTGTAATATACAAACAAATAGTATCAAAACGCGTTAAGGCACTGTTTACGCAATAACTGTTGATAAAATATGATTATGCAGTAAGTAATCAATCTCAAACAATTTATCGGCAATAAATTAATAACACCGTTCACATTCTATTATACATATTTACAGTTTTTTCGTCTTAAAAAAGTTTCACTATTGAGTGTGTTGTGCCAGCTGCCTCAACTGTTTTAACACAGTTTCTAGCAACTTTTTTTTATCCCTTTCACTCTTTTTTAACACGGAAAATACTGTTTTCTTATCTGATTCTCTTAGCCTGAAAAGTAAAATTAAGTTTTAGATTGAAAAAAAAAAACAATGTATTGGCTACTCCTCATTAATTACTTACTTTTCAAGCAAAATAACAGCCATTTGCGGCGTTACTAAATTATATTTGCTAGACTCGTTTATGTAGTCATGAAAATAAGTAGGCCAGTCCCAACTCATGAACAAATCGAGTAACTGTCTTAATTGCGCAAACTCTTGTAATAATGACCCCTCTGGTAGCCCTACAATGGGCTCGGAAGCGGCAAATTCTAAACAAAGATTAGATAGCCAAATTAGTGTAATAATTCATTAAAAACGTTCAATGACTTCGTAATCATACATACGTTCGCATTGTATCGTATCTAAATTAACTTGTTGAAGAGCACCCATTGAAATTTGTTTAATATCTTCACTGATTAAAATAGCCAAAACAGATTTCGCGATATGAGAACAAGCTGATTTGCAAGCTACCTGTGCAACTTCTTCCTGTAAATTTCATTTATTACAATTTGTCATTTTACTGTTAAATAATTTTTTAAATAAATACTGACTGGTAGATTTGTAAAACATGTAAATGTGCTTTGCAAAAAAGTAATAAGATCGGTGATAAAGCCCGAAGCATGACCTTGCGGCTCGGCTAGATTCCAATCGTAATTTTCAAGCTCAAGAAACTCGTCAAGTTTCTGCTTCAATTTTTCGCATATTTGCTTCTCAGCGTCATCCTTTGCTACTTTAAACATTGCCGTTTTTAAATTACCTGTAGTCAATTGACCTTCGTGAGGGGTTCTAAAATCATTGAGATTAACGCGATAGTTTCCAATTTTGTATCATTTTGATAAATTAGAATATAAAATAATTCCACTGACCCTGTAATATTGCAGACAAATTCCTCTAAATACTTGGTAGATTTTTCGAGGTACCCAGTATTTATAATAATTTGGATTACTTGCAAAAGCGCTAATGATGGCTTGCGGAACAAAGACGATAAGCAGCCGCTAAAAGTTCGTGTCAGCAGCAAATTTGTTGATTTGCAAATCATTTCATCGATTTCTGTTTTTGAAAGATTCAAGTCTTCCGAAAATTTTAAGCACGCGTAAATAAATTCCTTTACTTGATGATACACCTTTGGCACCATGGGCGAAAATGGAAATTTTTTCGGAAATTGTGCTTTTTGTAGCTCTTCATCTTGATATGGAAAAGAGGTGAGAATTTTGTCATACTCCTCTTGAGTATTTACCTGAATCGGTAAGAAATTATCTTCATCTAATATATCACGAAATATTTGAACCCAATGCTGCATCAGCACTTCATTGTAGTGAACTCGGATCTCTTGGAGTAATTCAAATAATTGACCAACTGAATATCCGTAATTCTAAACATAGTAGAGAAATGATGTTTTAGCGGACTAAATGAGGGAGGTTTAAAAAAGAATATCTTTACGTACCCTAAGAGTAGTATTAAACAACATTATCAAATTTTTTATTTTCAATATCAGAGTAGCATCCGTACAGTAAGCCTAAAGTAAAAAAATAATTGTGAGTGAAAAAAAGTATAAATTTTTGCTCATTACTTACAGAATGGGTTCTCAAAGCATTAACAATTTTTGAAAGAGCCATTGACCAAAGTTCTTCTAAATATGAGCGAGTAGTTAGACCGTTACCCGTATTTAAAATATGATCTTCAACAACAAAGAAGCCAACAACACTGTGAATGTAGGATTGGTACTCAGCTAAGCTTTCATGCTTAAATTTGACAAAAATTTAATTTCAGGTTTTATTATCAATATGATTAAAAGTTAATTATATTTACCATATTTATTGGTGGCTGTAAAACAAGCCTCGCTTGTTGTTGTCTTTGCTGCCTGTAATAAGCCTTAAAAGTTTCTACTTCTTCAAGAACAGTGTAAATGTGCATACATCGATAAACAGGACTGAAATCCATGAGATCTTGAGCACTGAGCTCTTCCTCTTCACTCGCTGACACAGTTCTTTGCATCTTTTTTACATTCTTTTTTCTACCCGTTATTTCAGCTTCTCTTTCCAATTGCTCAGCTGTCTGTAAGTTTACATAATTTTAAATTAACGAACGGATATAACCGCTTTTTTTTAAAGAATAAATGTCTTACGTGTCTCATGGCTACTTCTCCTATTTTTGGAGAATATTTCCTGATATTTTCCAAAAAGTCCCGTAAATCTGTCATTGATGCATCCTTTATATTTTCCCTCAATCTACAATTTTTGTCATCAAAATTTTGTTCATCAATAAACGAATAATAAAACTACAAGTACATGTAAACACAGCATACAAAGGAATAACTTACAAAGGAATTTTTTGGATAATTTGAGCTGAAAATCTATAATTTTTTACTTTTGGCAAGTCTTGTTTTTCAAGAAGCTCCAAGGTCTTGAGAGCGGGATAATATCTCTTATCCTTTAACTGTTTTTGTAATTTTGCATAGGCAGATAAAACTGGAAGACACATTGTTAGGCTATCAACAGCTGCAGCCATATTATTTTCTACTTTTCTAGCTTTCACTAGCTCTTCCTTCTTTTCAATCACTTTGCTAATGGTTGCATCTATCTTTTCATCTAAATCTAAAATTTCTGCCTATAAGCATTCAAATTTAAATAATTAAAAAAAGCAATTCACAGATTTGATTTTCTCATAAACTTGCCTTAAGCTCTTGAGCTTGAGATCGAACTTGAATTAATTCCCGAATAGAATCAATGAACCCTTGGTAATGAAGATTGCACATCCTTTCAATCTCTTTGTCATGGCTCTTGACTCTCTCATCCAACTTTTCCATAAACTTTTGGTGTTCATTTCCATCATAAATTGCTCTAAAATTAGACCAAACTGTTACTAGATAATCCAAAGGCTGTGCTTATATTATACCTAATCAATGAATTAAATATTGCGACTATTTATACAAGCAACTGTATTGCAGTTGTTGCAATTGCCAAAACAACTTTGCTTTCAAAACACTTTATGATTTAGAACTAAAGCATGACAAGTATTGCCTAGACTTTACTGACTGGAGCATCCAGTAAAATATAGTTAAACCTGCACAAGTCGGCTAAAAATTGGGTAAACAAATATCCGAATGAAAGGATGTACCTGATAACTAGGCCCATATTATTCATATCTGAGGACTCAATTTCCTTGAGCAGGTGCTCCATTTTTGGAGCAGTGGAAAGCAGGGCATTTTGCAAATCGTCGACCGACATGGTCCCCATTCTTTTCTCTCAATGCAACGTATTATTTGTAATAATAAAAAAAAATTAAAGAATACAAAATTTTCAACATTTTCACGAGTCTTGATATTACTTGCTAGGGGTAGTAGGGGTTGGAAATTATCCCCCGCTAGTGCGCATATGCCAAAAGGGAGATTTCAGCCCTTACATTAGATCCTGCGCCGTTCAGAGTTCGTGCGAATTTTCAAATGTACAACAGAAAGCACCTGTACTTGCACCCTATCTGGGCCGAGGGTTGACATTTAACGTTTGATGCTATTATTTTTGATACGCTCACCTGAAGGTCGGGCCTAGGTAGTCGTCGATACTTTCGATCTCCTGGATGAGAAGGTCCAGCTGCTGCATTTTAAAGGATGATGAAATGATATATGCCTGTACTGGTAGATTTTGACAGTATCGTTAAAACTAAAACTTGTAAGTATATTAAAAACTCGATTAAAATTTCAACTACTTAGAATACTGGTGTGAAATTCAGTGAATACAACACCCCGCGACCCGCGACGCCGACACGTAATAATGAACATTTGCTATATGTATGTATGGTGTATATCATGTATGTATACATATATCTTAATAATATACTGAGTGCCTGACAGTGACAGGAGACGGGAGCAGCAGCAGAATCAGCAGAAATTAAAGTAGGGTTGCAACTTGCGCCAGCAGTTAAGTCATATATAACGTAGGTCGTCGTGGGTCGTGGTGTGGTAACGCCGTATATGGTCCGACGGCGCTAGCGTCAACCTGTAGCTGTACGTACAGTGTACTAATTGTACTATTGTACTAACTGTCGGTGGGTTGAACTCACTGGGTTCCACCAATCCGCACAACAAACTCCGAAATATTGGGTGGCTGGTGGCTGGAAGTGAAAACAGCAAAAAATATCGAAGTTTGTTGACGTGCGGAACCCGCCAACAGTTAGTACAGGTTGACGCTAGCGTCGCCCGACCGTGCGGCGTTACCACCATAGATGTTACCATCACTCCTATGTATAACTTTATAAAGCAACAACGTGAAATGTGCATGAAAGAGAGCCCGCAGAAAGATTTGAAATCTTGTCCGATCCGCGCGAGATTATGATGGCCGACTAGGCCGACGATGCGTGCGCAAGAAACATTCGCGCGCGCGCCAAATCTATAAATACTATAAATAGGTATACGGCACAAAAAACACGCGCCCTTTGAAAAGTATACCCATGACCCATACCCAATCTTTACCACCAATCTTACCATAATACCATATACTTACTGCCCATGTGTAGACCCAACAAAACAATATACCCGGCGCAGCCATTTCCCCAAGAAAATTCGTACAGGAAGGACGTCACGTGTTTGTCTAATTTTGATAGTGAACTAAGAGTAAGCCCACCTCGACAGCTCCAAAATGCCGAGGATAAACACGATCACATCGTATTTCAAGTCGCCGAAATCCAGTGAAGCGTCTTCACGAGCCTCGACTCTGTCACCGGCGGCCAAGTTGGCTCAAAACAAGACCCCGTCCAAGAAGACGAAAACAACTAAGTCCGAAACACCCAAACGAGATCAAAAGGACAAAGGTGAGCAAAGACTTTGGTTGCTATTTTTTAGCATGGCAACTACATTTAAACGATGTTTGTTGTTGATTTTATCACTTTCGTCATGCATTTTCTACGTTGTGTTGCATTGTGTGTGTGTATGTACATATACATCTATATTTTCATGGTCCAATGCTCACGAACAATAGGTTTCTTGGCGTCATGTTTCCCGTAGCGATTTTTTTGCTGTTTATGATGAATTTTCGTACTGACATTCTTAAAAGAGTGTACTCGTTTGATCGTACTATTGTTTTATGTTGATGACAACACTTAGGTTGTTGAAAATATTGTTTGAATGGAGCTAAAGCAGCATGCCATGTGCTTGTGCAGACACGATTCTCCACTCTCGACATTTTTTTTGCTATTTTATTAGTGAAAATAAATCCATAACTCGATCGGGTATTGGATATTAAACATTCAATGAATTCTTAACTTGACTAAATTATTATTTGTGTGCTCAGATAAGCAGAAGAAAAAAGGCAAAGAAAATGTCGGAAATAATGAAAAGAAGGAGAAAAACGAGAAAGAGAACAAAAAAAGACCACTAGAAGAAGAGCTGGATAAAGATGAAGACGGTGGTGAGAAAAAAGAAGCCACACCAAAGCCCAACAAGAGAAGGAGAATCATTCTTCCAGATGAAGATAGCGATGCTGAAGTTGATTCTGGAGATGAGTACAAGCCTGGTCATTATCGTTTCTATGGATTCTTAGCATTTATAAATTGTTATTTCATTATTATTCTGTATAAAAAATAATTTTGTTTTCAATGCAGATAGTGATGTGTCCCAGGAATCAGATGAAGGGTCATTGTCTGAAGCTGTGAGTGACAGCGAACCAGCTAGCGAAAAAGACTCTGATGATGAGACTCCCAAGGTATTACAGTTCCANAAGTTTAGCGAAGAATTTGAAAAGTGGAACATTGGAATTTATAATATTGCTGTTCTCGACTGTTTGATCTCCTTGACGGAATATGCCCGAACCTGCGATGTTTGCATTCCGACTGTTTATGATGACACGGACGGTGATGAGGTACTGTTTAAAATGGTCATTTGTGTTATGTTTCGGCTTAAGATACAATTACCTTTCGATATTATTTTAGATAATGATTGAAATAAGAGATGGAAAACACCCGTGTATACCGTCCAACAACTTTATCCCTAATGACACTTTAATTGCTACGAAAGAAACTGCTCCATTAATACTCTTAACAGGTCCCAACATGGGTGGTAAATCTACGCTTATGCGGCAAGTTGGACTCATCACAGTGATGGCACAAATTGTAATAATCACTTGTAAACTGTATTTATCAATGATAATTTTAGTTCTTATTCTAATGGATCATTGAATTTTAATCAGGGATGCCACGTGCCTGCAAGCGCTTGTCAATTAACACTCGTCGATCGCATATTTACCCGTCTTGGAGCAAACGACGATATTATGGCTGGTCAAAGTACATTCCTGGTTGAGTTGAGTGAAACTGCAGCTATACTACAACATGCAACAACTCACTCGCTCGTTCTTTTGGATGAATTGGGTAAATAGACATTCCATGTATACTCATTCATCATCTTATTTCACGAACATTTATTTAAATTACATTTTTTGTAATTATCAGGCAGAGGCACATCCACTTACGATGGAACGGCTATCGCGGCTTCAGTGGTCGATGCTCTTACAAAGAAAAAGTGCAGGACACTTTTCTCAACTCACTATCATTCTCTTGTTGAAGACTTCAAAGACAGTGCCAACGTTTCTTCCGCTCACATGGTAATTATGAGATTTTTAATTTGATCTATAAATGAAAGTGCCATGCATTTTGAGAATGTCATTACCATTGAATTTCTAGATAATATTATGTATGACGAATTGGATTGTTTTTAGGCTTGTAAGATAGAGAATGAGGACGAAGGTGAAGTTACGGAACAAAACGTGACTTTCTTATACAAGCTGAGCCAGGGTGCTTGCCCCAAATCCTATGGCTTCAACGCTGCTAGACTGGCTGGCATACCTGCACACATAACTAAGCGAGCCCAGGAAATAGCAACTAAACTAGAAAACGAAGTAAATCTTCGACACGCCTTTACTACTCTTTGTAAAATCAACGACGGCTTGTCCATGAAAAGCGTACTTAAGAGTTTAACGACTCTTTAAAAATTATTTGTTACCGTTCGTGTCGTTCTATTTTGTAGTTGTATAGTCTTGTACTATTTGGATTTATATTTTTGTACTCATGAATGAATTCCTGAATTTATTGGTTCCTACTTAATGTTTTACTTACAAAAATAACCATATGAATATGTAGTTACTCATTAATAAAACTTCAATGTTGAAATAAATATTGTTTTGTATTGTTTATTTACAGTGTTCGTTGTATAAATTTAGGTATGTATGGATTTTTCTTAAAAAAAATTTTTATAATGATAAATCCATACTAACAACTACTCGCAGTTATTTTGAATAGTAATGTAGATTAAACATTTTTTTACTACGTCATCTTCAAATACATAATGTACTAATAATTGGATTGTGGTATAATCTGCATGACGATTTGCAAACTGCTGAGTAATGTTAATTCAGCAATTTTGAATTTTACTGTTCCCATCAGCTTAATAATATAATTGTAGTAGGATCCGCCGTTCATCACATTGCATAACATTGTCTGGCGACTACGACTTGGCGCCGAAAAGACAATCTACGTTAACGCGTAGGTAGGTATATCTACTTAACAATCGAACTATCGAACACACCGTGTTTTTTTACGTTTTAAAGTTTACGGTCCACACGCGTCAAGAATCAAGAATATAAATAAGTATAGATTAAGTAGATTATAGAAGTGTTAGTTTACCCGCTGTGGCTGATATGGTGATTGGTGATGGACATGGCCACAAGCCACAAAAAGTAAAAACTCATTGAATCTGAAGAAAATGTGTCTACTACAGGGATCACTGAAAAGTGTCGGAAATATACAAAACGGCCTTTATTAATGAACACGAACGAACACATAGACATTAGTCTTAAATTAACTACCAAGAAAAATTATTATTTAAATTTACTAATTTCGTTTGGTTCAATTAATGGTCAGTGGTCACTACTTACCTATAGTTATGAGCTACAAATAATGTGCTAACCTGTTACTTATCGTGCAGTTAACTCTAAAGCTTCCATATTCGGGTACTTACATGACAAACGTCAAATTCATTCCCCGATTTAATTTTTCGCAAACAAAGTTTACTAACCATCATAAGACAGAGACACCAAGTTGCTAAGTACACTCTGCTAAGGAGCGGAGGAGAAAGGACAGCTCCCAGATGCCGAAAGTAAACACTATTAAATCGCCCAAGTCTGGCGGAATCTTGACAAGATCCCGAGCAGCGAAATTCGTTGAGAGCCACCAGGCCCCATCCAAAAAGACCAAAATAACAAAATCTGAAACACTCAAACCGGAATCAAAGAACAAGATTAAGAAAGGTCAGAAATTACATGTATACATGTGAAATTTGTTGATATTTTGTACATTTAACGTTGCACTTAAATGTCAGCCAATTTTTCACCAAATCAAATTTTGATGGCAGATTATTGCAAAAAGTTTTAGAGGGATCCACTAGAAAAGATTTCTTTGTACTCTAACTTGTTCAGCTTGATACATCAACTGCTACTGTTATCGTGATTTTTCCACAAATATATAATATATGTGAATTACATTGTTGTCCATGATAACACAGCAACCCTTTAAAAATAATACTTATATATAATATAAGGTGATGCCAGAGATGCGAGCGCAAAAGGTAACAGTTCTGACGAAAAAGACACTGGGTATCTGTAAACGCATTTTTACTATTCCCAAAGATTTGATAAAATTGTATTGCTATTATATTTTTTTTTATCAAACTGTTACTTTGGATCGAGCATAGTCTAATGGGTACCATTCTCATCTAGAGTCGTTTTAAATCTTGTCAGAATTGCCATCACTTTTTAAGATGTGACGAAACAGGCCCCTTATATCCCTTCTTATCAATAAACTTCAACTGTTGATAGTATTGTTTGAGTAAAGACCACATTTTGAGATATTATTTGAACACTGTATCATATGGATAGTAAGATTAATCGACTGGCTTTCGTTAAATAAATAAAAAGTCGTAACTTAAGTAAATGCTATTTGTGTGTTTAGATGAAGCAAAGAAAAAAGGTAAAGAAAATGCCGGTGATAAAACGAATAAAAATAAGGAAAAAAAAGAAAATGAAGACAAAAACATACGACTAGAGAAGAACCCACCTAAGGATGGAAATGGTAGAAAAAAAAATGCAGCCACACCGAAGCCCATCAAGAGGAGGAGAATCATTCTTCCAGATGAAGATAGCGATGCTGAAGTTGATTCTGGAGATGAGTACAAGCCTGGTCATTATCGTTTCTATGGATTCTTAGCATTTATAAATTGTTATTTCATTATTATTCTGTATAAAAAATAATTTTGTTTTCAATGCAGATAGTGATGTGTCCCAGGAATCAGATGAAGGGTCATTGTCTGAAGCTGTGAGTGACAGCGAACCAGCTAGCGAAAAAGACTCTGATGATGAGACTCCCAAGGTATTACAGTTCCAGTTGTATACTTAAAGTTAAAGGTTGTAGGTAAATCTTTGTTCATATTCTAGAAAAAGAGAAAAGTCAATAATGGCACTGCCGCTAAAAGCTCTGCAAAAAAATCCATAAAAAGTGACATTCCACTACGTGGCATTGAACTAACAGCTCCAAAAGCTTCGAATACCCAATCCTGGCCACACTTGAAGTACGAATTCTTGCAGCCAGATAAAATTAAGGACGCGAAGATGCGTTCGCCTGAACACCCTGATTATGATCCAAGGACTCTTTATGTTCCCCAAGACTTTTTGGATACACAAACTCCTGTAGGTGATTTTCCTTAAGTATCTTCTCATAATATTTAAAAGATGGTTAAATATTTGTCCTTACTATTTCAGGCTATGCGGCAATGGTGGGTTTTGAAATCTAGTCATTATGATTGTGTATTATTGTTCCAACTTGCAAAATGGTATTTATTGTATCATATGGATGCTGTAATAGGAGTCAATGAAATGAATTTATCTTTTATGAGGGTTTGTAGAGATCTGAAGTAAAGTAAAATACCAAATTATTTGTTAGTTGTATTTTTTTTTTTGTTTGATAGGGAGAGCTTCGAGGACAGTTTGCTCTCTCAGGTTTTCCAGAAAGCGCGTATGGACGTTGCTCAGCAGGTCTTATTGAAAGAGGCTACAAGGTAGCAAGGATCGAACAGACGGAAACTCCAGAAATGGCAGCTAAACGATGCGCTCGAAGTAATTGCCCAATACTATCAACTATCTTTCATATCAATATTTTCTCTACATAAAAGATGTATGTTATGTTTAGTGAAAAAATCAACTAAATTTGATAAAGTCGTTGATGTATGTTATGTTTAGTGAAAAAATCAACTAAATTTGATAAAGTCGTTAACCGTGAGATCTGCCAGATCAGCACAAGAGGAACGAAAATCTACACGGCTCAAGACACTGAGGCAGCAGCACCCACGTCAAGTTATTTGCTGTCTATTGTCGAAAAACAAACTACTGGCTTGCCTTCTTATGGAGTTTGTTTCATCGACACCTCCATTGGTGAATTTCATCTCGGTCAATTTCAAGATGATCGATGCAACTCGACAAGATGATCGATGCAACTCGAGACTATTAACTTTAATTGCTCACCATCCACCTGCTCACATTGTTTATGAGCGAGGCAACTTATCGCCTACTACACTGAAAATAATAAACAACTATTTGCCCAACGTAATGAAAGAAGCGCTGCAAAAGGAAGTGCAATTCTGGACATCAACGAAAGTCTTGAAGGTATGAACTGCTTCGATTTTCATATGAAAAGATTCAACCACGTAATACTTAATTGTTTTTAGACCCTTTACGAGAATAATTATTTCAAAAAAGAAGGAGATGAGTCCGAATTCACGTGGCCAACAAGCTTACAACCTTTCTTGAACAAAGGTAAGTACGATTGCTACCTTTGAGTCATTCGTCCGTCACATTTCACCAGATCAATTAGTGGTGTTCATTTGTTTTTGCAGCTGACAGCTCACAACTTATGGCATCAGAAGATAAGGAGCTTGCAATTAATGCTTTGGGTGGCTGTGTGTATTTGCTCAAAGAATATATGTTAGACCAACAGTTACTTTCCTTAGGTCGGTTTAAAATCTACAGCCCACCAGATTTTACGAGTATCAAGAAGGGAAGAAAGAAAAAGACTCAGTTTGCTCATAACATGGTAATTTGCATAAAATTACTTTAAAAATCTGCATTCAATCTAAGAATATAAATTATGTCATATGAGTTTTGATCTGCACTTTAATAGGTCTTGGATGCTATTACAATTAATAATTTGCGAATCCTTGGAAGTGACGGATCTCTAATTGAAGTTCTGGATAAATGCTGCACAGCTTTTGGAAAGAGGTAACTGAAAAAGTATACCTTAAAAAAATGACCGTGTTGTAGGATAAAACCATGATTCATATGAGATTTTTTTAGATTAATACGGGAATGGATATGCAGGCCATCTTGTCGTAAGAGTGTCATTATCGAACGACAAGAAGCTATAACTCAGCTGTTGGATAATCCAGACATTGTCGCAGAAGTCCGGAGTAAATTAAGCACCTTGCCAGATATAGATCGATTATTGAGCAAGTAAGTATATTCAAAAGTGGTCTGGTTCTATGATATGGAAAAAAATATTGCCAATTTTTATTTTATTTTCAGAATTCACGCTCATGGAAATGCAGCCAAATTACAGAATCATCCCGATAGTCGTGCTATATTATTTGATGCTAATCTTTACTCAAAGAGAAAAATAAATGATTTTATAACGGTACTAAACAGTTTTGAAGAAATCTTAGCTATAATCAAAAAATTTTCAGGTAATTAAGTAAACCATAAGTTTCAATGCCTCAAGAGTCACAGCTATCAATTTCTCTGTAAACAAACCTATAGATTTTTATAATTCTTTCTTTTAATGTTTCAGTATTCGATAATCCATTAATCAGCAAGTGTACCAGGCTAGAACCTGAAGGTGACTTCCCTGATCTAAATGAAACTGTGAATCACTTTAAAGTAAGCTAGAGTATTTTTCTTTCTAAATAAATTTGATGCATCGTTATTACTCATTATAAAACTATTTACTGTTAGAACGCTTTCAACCACGAACAAGCCAAAAAAGAGGGCTTCATAATTCCTAAACGCGGAGTCGATCGAGAATACGATGCTGTATTGCTGGAACTAGCTGAGATAAAAAAGGAATCTGAAGCTTACTTGGATAAGCAGAAGAAACATTTTGGTGTCCAAATTAAATACTGTGGAGGCGACAAAAAACGATTCCAAATAGAAGTTCCAGAAAGCCAGATAAAAAAAGTTGGGAATGGCTATGAACTGCAGGGTTCGAGAAAAGGATTTAAAAGGTACTACACGGCAGAATCTAGAGAGTTTCTTGCCAGACAAATAGCTGCTGAAGAACAAAAGGAAAAAGTCTTAAAAGATAGCAATCGAAAGATTTTCGCCAAGTTCAGTGAAGAATATGAGCAGTGGAGCAATGCTGCTTACAACATTGCTGTTCTTGACTGTTTGATCTCGTTGAGCGAATATGCCCGAACCTGCGATGTTTGCATTCCAACCGTTTACGATGACACGGATGGTAATGAGGTACTGTGTCGTATTTAAAAAAAATTTGCATTAACGCATTGTTTCGGATTAAGCTACAAATACCTTTCGATATTATTTTAGATAATGATTGAAATAAGAGATGGAAAACACCCGTGTATACCGTCCGACAACTTCATCCCTAACGATACTTGTATAGCTACCGAAGAAACTGCTCCATTAATACTCTTAACAGGTCCTAACATGGGTGGTAAATCTACGCTTATGCGGCAAGTTGGACTCATCACAGTGATGGCACAAATTGTAATAATCACTTGTAAACTGTATTTATCAATGATAATTTTAGTTCTTATTCTAATGGATCATTGAATTTTAATCAGGGATGCCACGTGCCTGCAAGCGCTTGTCAATTAACACTCGTCGATCGCATATTTACCCGTCTTGGAGCAAACGACGATATTATGGCTGGTCAAAGTACATTCCTGGTTGAGTTGAGTGAAACTGCAGCTATACTACAACATGCAACAACTCACTCGCTCGTTCTTTTGGATGAATTGGGTAAATAGACATTCCATGTATACTCATTCATCATCTTATTTCACGAACATTTATTTAAATTACATTTTTTGTAATTATCAGGCAGAGGCACATCCACTTACGATGGAACGGCTATCGCGGCTTCAGTGGTCGATGCTCTTACAAAGAAAAAGTGCAGGACACTTTTCTCAACTCACTATCATTCTCTTGTTGAGGACTTCAAAGACAATACCAACGTTTCTTCCGCTCACATGGTCATTATTTTTGGAATGGTTTGAAGGTGGTATTGATAGTTTTAATCACATAATTTACGATGGGGTTTTATTGTTTTTAGGCTTGCATGGTAGAAAATGAGGACGAAGGTGAAGTTACGGAACAAAACGTGACTTTCTTATACAAGCTGAGCCAGGGTGCTTGCCCCAAATCCTATGGCTTCAACGCTGCTAGACTGGCTGGCATACCTGCACACATAACTAAGCGAGCCCAGGAAATAGCAACTAAACTAGAAAACGAAGTAAATCTTCGACACGCCTTTACTACTCTTTGTAAAATCAACGACGGCTTATCCATGAAAAGCGTACTTAAGAGTTTAACGACTCTTTAAAAATTATTTGTTACCGTTCGTGTCGTTCTATTTTGTAGTTGTATAGTCTTGTACTATTTGGATTTATATTTTTGTACTCATGAATGAATTCCTGAATTTATTGGTTCCTACTTAATGTTTTACTTACAAAAATAACCATATGAATATGAAGTTACTCATTAATAAAACTTCAATGTTGAAATAAATATTGTTTTGTATTGTTTATTTACAGTGTTCGTTGTATAAATTTAGGTATGTATGGATTTTTCTTTAAAAAAATTTTTCAAATATTCAAAAAATCAATCATATTCGTCAGTAATAGCGCTTGTGTTTCACTACCAAGCTTGGACCAACATTGGTTACCTGCATTATGGGCTCAGCTTAATCGCTTTTAATATCGGATGAATTTATTAAATAAAAATATTAAAAATTTAGATGTTTTTGCTTGTGCATGATGGGAAGTTAAATCAAATCATTGTCAAATCATCAAATCGGCGAAATTAATACATTGTAGTTATTAAAATTAATTTATGTAGTTAATGTATAATACGAAGATAAATGCAAAGAGGTATGCTTATTTTTACTGTAAGAAGTCGCTGAGTAATTTTTTGTAAAATTCATAAGTATAGTTTATTGAAAAAAAAAAAAAAAAAAAAAAAAAAAAAAAAACTTGTAAACGCCAAAAAATGTACTTGCTGTAATCCATTAAAAATTGAAATTCAACATCATTGTCATGTATTCTTTTCATAACATTAAAATGTTGCATTTGAATAAGTATGTCTGGTGAAATAAAACAAAAAAAACATTTTACATATATATTGTTAGGTAACTTATTGTTTTTCGAACTGCACAAATATATATTATATACTTATGCATATTTATCGAAACTTCGAGCAACGAAGATCCAGAACATTCGGAGAGGCCGCGACAGGCCGCGCGATGTAAGTGCAAAAGAGAGAGAGCACACACCACGAGAAGACGCGCCTGCGCTCCAGGTCTTGCTCGAGTTTACGACATATGAGTCAGAAGTTCCGAACTCTGAACAGCCCGAACCTCGTGCGTGTGCGGCTGCCGCTGCTTAGCATTTATACTTTCAACGACACAAAAGAACGTTAACTATCACACGAGAATAAAAGACGTGCTTATAATTAATAAAAAAAAAAAACGAAGTGAAAGTTTATCAGGGTCAACGTGACTACGCGACTCTAGTAAAAAATACGCAGCCACCCGGCACTCAGTTTTTAGTAACGTTGCACCTCATCATAGCTACTGCCTGTCGACTACACTCCTCAACCTCAGCGACTCATTGAAGTAGTTCTCTTCACGTAGCTAACGAACTATCTCTCAATCAAGTACGCAATTTTTCGTTGAAGCACACCCTGTTTTTTTGTTTTGTTTCGTTTACTTTTTTGTTGGCGAGGTGTTGGATTTCGAGGCTGTGTGATCCTCGTGGCGAATTATGGATCAGGTGAGAATGGTTTTTTATGTATGCTTACTTATGTGTTATGTTTCATTTTTTTTTTAATTAAGTACAGCTTAGGAAGGTAAACAAGGGGATGAAAACGTTAAAGAGTGCCCGGCCGTTAATGGAAAGAATAACTTGTGAGGTGGTTAACCGTTGACTTGTAAAAAATTTGTAGGTACTTGAGCGTGGTTATTGTAACTTGTATGTGGGTTAAGTTAAAAGATTTAAAGTGACTTGCTATAAGTAATAGTGTGTTGGGAATGTTTTGAATCCTCTATATTGTTTTGCAGCAGATTAGCAAATACTTACCACCTTTCAAAAAATTAGTGAAATGCAATAATGTTTAAAAAATTCTAGAGTTCCTGATTACTTGATTTATTTTTCCATTACTTTTTCATTCGTGGTTATTTAAGTTTACTTGAAATTTGAAGAAAAACAATTATTTGATTTTTAGGTCAACGTATTAAAAGATAAGGGTAACAAAGCCTTACAAGAAAACAAATTTGATGAGGCGATTCAGTTCTACACCCAAGCCATTGACTTGGACAAGAGCAACCATGTGCTGTACAGTAACCGTTCTGCAGCCTACGCCAAAGCGGGCAAGTACTCGCAAGCTTTGGAGGATGCCGACAAAACAGTTACACTAAAGCCTGACTGGGCCAAGGGCTACTCAAGAAAAGGCAGTGCTTTGGCTTATTTGGGCAGACTCGATGACTCGATAAATACGTACGAAAAGGGCTTGATGCTAGATCCTACTAACGAGCAGCTCAAGCAAGGACTTCGTGAAGTTAGGGCCCAAAAAAGCAATGCTGGAATGGCGAATCTCTTCAATGGACCAGAAGCTTTCATGAAACTTAGAAGTGACCCCAGAACTAGGGCTTGGATGGATGATCCAGATTATCTAGCGCTTCTTAGTGAACTGCGCACCAACCCGGGTGCCCTAAGTATTAATCAGCTTAATTTGTTATTAATTATACTTTGCCTAATTAACACATAAGATGTTAAAAAAAAAAATTATCGCAATTTCAGATACCAAAATTCAGGACACGAGAGTTCTTACGACTCTCAGTGTACTGTTAGGATTAAGTGACATGGATGAAAGTATGGATGTAGATCCGCCAAAGTATGAGCCGCCCAAGTCACAAAAAAAAGAAGAACCAAAACCGGAACCAAAAAAAGAAGATAATACGCCGCCAGAAAAGAAACAAGCTATGGAAGAAAAAAACTTGGGTAATGCTGCTTACAAAAAGAAGAGTTTCGCAGAAGCACTCGAGCATTATAATAAAGCCGTCGAATTAGATCCAAACGACATCACATATTATCTCAACATCGCTGCTGTTTACTTTGAGCAAAAAGAGTATGAAAAGTGTATAGCACAGTGCGAAAAGGCCATCGAAATAGGCCGAGAAAATCGAGCAGACTTCAAACTTATTGCCAAGGCGTTTACAAGAATTGGACACTCTCACAAAAAAATGAACAACTGGAAACAAGCCAAAGTGTACTACGAGAAGTCGTTGTCTGAGCACAGAACACCAGAGATCAAGACCCTCTTGTCCGAAGTCGAAAAGAAGATTAAGGAAGAGGAACGAAAAGCATATATTGATCCTGAGAAGGCTGAAGAGGAAAAGGAGCTTGGCAACCAAATGTTTAAGAATGGTGATTATGCGGCTGCGATGAAACACTACTCTGAGGCTATCCTCAGGAATCCAGATGATCCAAAGTACTACAGCAATCGAGCGGCCTGTTACACAAAACTGGCGGCATTCGATTTAGGTCTAAAAGACTGCGAGAAGTGCGTGGAGCTGGATCCTAAGTTTATAAAAGGCTGGATCAGGAAAGGAAAGATCTTGCAGGGCATGCAGCAGCAGGGAAAAGCACTGTCAGCTTATCAAAAGGCCTTGGAACTGGATCCCAGTAATGCCGAAGCTCTTGAAGGATACCGATCGTGCTCGATTGCAGTGAGTTCCAACCCAGAGGAGGTAAGAAAACGGGCTATGGCAGATCCGGAAGTTCAGAATATTTTGAGAGATCCCGCCATGAGACTTATCTTGGAACAAATGCAAAACGATCCCAAAGCCTTGCAAGAGTAAGTTTTTTTTTATTAATACATATTTTATTCAACAATTTAGTGTATAAAATTTTTTACAATTTTTTTTTTTTTTTTTTCAGCCATCTAAAGAATCCTGCGATAGCGGCCAAACTTCAAAAGCTCTTGGAGTCGGGACTCGTAGCCATACATTAATGAAATTTAACTTAATAATGATGAAAAAAAAATTTTATATACACATAGTGCTCCAAAAAAAAAAAAAAGCTTTTACCATTCAGTTCTGGGCAATAAAGAATCAATTTTGAAGTATTCTAATTGATTATTGATACCACTACTTATACCAACGGTTTTTTACAGACTGCGGTATTTTATATTTTCGTATCTTTTCATTGAAAGATGTATTATTTCTAAGCCTAATTTACGCAAAATTAATTAATTGTGACGAAAGACGGTAAATAATTCGACCAATTAAATCATTGAAATATAAAGGATGCACTTTGAAGGAGATTTGAAAATAGTCTTTGATTTAATAACCTAACGCCATTATAAAAAGGTACATTCCTCTAAGAGGAGGAATAAAAAAAAGACCAAGCCAAGCTTGTTCTCACTGATCATTTTTTAGTGCATGACCTTTTCCTGTCCACTGTTCTTTCAGCTGTACTTGCAAGCCTAAATCGCGAAGCGCTGCCTTGATATCCGACTCCAGAGTTTTCGTGTGCACCGTAAGTGCGTTGTTCAGCAGCTCCTCGACACCACAAGCAATAAACTCACGAGATTCGATGTTATTTCGTACAGACATGTTACGAATTGCCCAGGCCGCATGCTGCATCACGTTAACGCTGTTGGGGTAGGCCTTCATTACGTCGATGATAATAGAAACCGCGCCGCCATCATAGAAAACACCTGCGTTTGAAGAACTTTTTAAAGTCAGTGCAGATATGCAGCCAAGACCGGCTGTTACCACGGCTTCAGAACCCTGTAAATATCAACAATATGGATAATTCCTTAAAGCATTGTAAAAAACTTATTATTTTGTATATTTGATTTGGTTGCAATTACTACATAATGTAATATCTTTCTTCTCCTGGCTTACCAATAATTTTAACTTTTTAAATTTAGTTTAAATAAATTTTCTGTTTCTCGTAAAAAATTTGAATTACAGTTTCAAATTTGTCCTTGAAAATTGATAAACATTTTTTTTTAAATTAATAAGTGGTTATTACTCTCACCTTAAATCTACTTATGGCATAAATAATCAAAGGCGCAAGTCCAGAAGTGACGATGTGTGTTTTGACGTCGTCATTACCAGCTAAACTTTTAAGTAACTTGAGTGCCTGCCAATTAATTTTTTCCACGTCAGGGTGATTTGTGAATACATCCAAAATAAATTCCAATCCTCCTGCTTCTTCAAATTCCTTGCAAAATTCGTTTCTAACAATAAGAGCTGCTGCTGTCAGCATTATCTCTCCTACTACAATTTTATCAGTCTTATAAGCTGCAAAAGAAAAATTTAGTTAAATATATTGGTTTATGTTTGTTTGATCATGATAATGTCTTTGAATTAGTACTCACTTGATAATAATGCTGTAAGGGTTTGTAAGGTCTGTCTGGCAATGGCAGTTGCGTGTTCATGTGCTTTTCCAAAATCGTGTCTCAAATCATCATCCAATGTTAAGGCTCTCAGGACAACACAGACTTCTTTCACAACTGCAATACTTGCATCTCTTTCCGCAAGAATCGACTTTAAATCGTCTAAAATACCAGCCTTAAAGATTTTTTGTCTGTTCAACTCGTGTTTGATGCAGCACTCTCTGATCCATTTTAATATAAGCTGCAAAGTCTGTGGATCACTGTGATTACTTTCCAATAATCTGGATTGGTAAAAAAAAGACCATAATGAGCAATTTTACATTAAACTAATTGTAACCCTCAATTATGAGCATAAGGAAGAAAACCTCTTTTGTAATTGTATCCCAGTCTCGTCCAACAAATCTGGGTTACCCGTCATCAAAGCAGTGATGGTTTTGAGAGCCAACCTCAATAAAATTGGATCGTCTTTGCAGCTAGTCATAACATCCAAAAGTATACTGTAAGCTCCATTTTTGCCAGCAAAAACTCGTCGCGCAATGTCCTTCTCCAACTCTGACCTGAGCTTGTTCAGTAGAGGAGCAGCATGTTCGTGCTCTTTACTTTTGGTGCACTCTGAGAGTTTTTTTATGCAACTTGTTATGTCATTTGCCCCATCATTCAGCGAGAGATCCTTTATGATGTTTGTCAAATCAACACCCTAAAGCAGAAGAGAGACATGCAATGGATTGGAAGCTGTCACTCAACTTTGTTATCTTTCTTTTACTGGAATTTGGTGGTTTGTAAAAAAAAAAAAAAAAAAAAATTTACTTAAAGATAGTCATCACACACCTGTGCCTTGAATTGCTCGACAGCCTCCTTGATGGCCTCCTCGGGAGACATGGAAAACTCCTCAATGTTCTCACGCACGACTTCATCGTAGGTCTCCTGGCTGATTACGCGAACCATGACTGATAACAGATGCACATGCACCACACGACGGACAATAATGTTGTCTCAAACTATTGTACTAAAAACCCAGGAGCTCTTAAAATAACACAAAGTACCTACGATGCACTTGGTTTTAAATAACTTGGCGCCTCACTTGTGAATGGCGTGCTGTTTACACGTGAACATTGTGAACACCACGACGGCAACACAATTTCCTCTCTCTCTGCAAAACTGAGGAGTGTGTGAGTAAATATGTGTATATGCTTAAACTGGTTTGTCGTTTCGGAGCGGACGAGAACGAGAACTTTTCCTTATTAAGATAAGCCAATGCCGAGAGCCATCAAGAGCTCGTGTACACACATAATACTTATATGTTTGAATGTTTAATTTTGTACTTTCAAATTTTCATTGGTAAGTAGATACTTAATGACTTGAAGCGCACTCTGTCTTATTTTTTAATTTTAATTTATTATAAACACATTTCTGATTTAATTGTGCGAGGACTCTGAGTTACAAAATTTATACTTACCGAGTATGTGCCATGTGATTAATTTATTTGGAAGAAATTGAGAGCAGGAGACAAATAAAAAGAATTAATATAATGGGAGGATCTCTCGAATCCTCTAAACTGCAAATACCTATGTATATACATACAACCCGCGCCTTTTAAAAATGATGCCGATCAAACGAAGAAATGAGGTCACTGTTTTTGTTTTTTATACCTTCAATTCGTCTGACGCCATCAATAACGATTTTTCGAGAGAAAATCGGTTAACTTTTTATTTCAACAACCGGCCTAAACTTAATAACGCATATTATTATAATGCACGATGCGTAGGTGTGTATGTGTAAACATTATAATATTACATGCATATGGATACGCGAGTACCATTTCGATTACGCTTAGGCGTCCTTTCATTTCGGAGCAACGAGGCGCACCCCTACAAGTACGATTGGCCCTGACCTTGTATACTCCTTGAGAACCTGTTACGCGTTTTTCTATACATAAACATATACGTACTCATGCGGACTACAAATAAACAATTAATGCACAATGAATTAACAAAAAGCTTGACCACCACATATCAAGATATATATACCGATCGCCCGCGCAGATGTACATTTGTACCGATCACCATATAATACCGGTTATTTTCACTCCAACGAGACGGACGATCGCAAGTGCTCCGATCGGCGCTTCATACGCGTACAGGCATTAAAAAAAAAAAAAAAAAAAAAAAAAAAAAAACATCAAGTTAAGCTTGTAAATCTACCCGAGCAATCGCATTAAACACCAGCTGTTTACATTNAAAAAAAAACATCAAGTTCTCACGAGAGACGCGCATCAACGACTCCCAGGGAGTAAAAAAAAAAAAAATCGCAATAGACACCCTTTGTGGGAATATACTCAAGAGAGAAGAGCGCGCAAAGGCACATGAATGCGCGTGAAAATAAAACAAAAAAGATAGAGCGTGAGTGAATAAACCGAAAATAAAAAGAATTGAAAAAATTAAAAAAAAAAAAAGGGAGAGTCGTGAGAGAGAAGGGACATGTGCGCCTTTCGCCTGGCAGCTGCGGGTGTGTTCAGAGCGAAAAAGAGGCAAGTACAAAAAAGAAAAGAGGAGGAGGATAGAGAGCACGAGGGAGGAAGGAGACGAGGTGGAGGAGGAGCGATGGGCAAGTTCGATAGCCTCAGCTGACACTGTGCCAGCAGTCTGCGGAGTGTCGGTTGTCGCGGACGGAGAAAACATACGAGAGCCTGCAGAGATAAAAGAGGTGCATATATATATACATACATATATATATATATATATATATCATCCGGTCAGTGTATACCAACTGCGGGTGTTCCCCATATTGGTCATCCTCTCGGTGTTGGAACAGAAAACATAGTATTACGTAGTGCACATTGCGCGTACATTATTTACAACATGAGGTCCCGAGGGGATGACCATTGGTACGAAGGAGTACTCTACTCGACGACGACGACGACGACGACTCGTTGATGTGCTCATCGACTCCGAAATCGAGAGGAGCGAAAGATGATGGACGCGGCGCTGAGGACGCTCAACCACCAGGAGGTCGTGCACGAGGGGTGGCTCATCAAGTCGCCGCCCAGCAAGCTCTGGAAAGCGGTAAATATGTATACTTTTCTACGCGTTGGAGGATAAGTAAAAAAAAAAATGTAACGAGTTTGCGTGTTCTTTTTCATCACTCATTCACGGATGTGTATATATATATATATATATTTTTTTTTTCATTTCATTTTCCTCCGCAACGAGTACGTGTGTATAATATACATCATCCGTGTGTATACACGTACCACAAACGGACGACCCTTTTTTATAAGCGTGTCTGTCAATCTCTGCCCGTTGTTATCACAAACATTAACGATTGTTACATACGCACGCATCACGTTCTATCTCTCGGTTTCTTCTTTCATACGCGCGAGTGTTGTGTGTGTATGTACGTGTGTCTATTGACTGAGGTGGAGTCTGTGTCGTCTGTGATGATGATGATGATGATGCATGCGTCGCTATTACTATAATTTATTTAGTGCCGCTCTGTGATTCATCCGCTGGGCATTTTTCTCCTCTAACGGGCTCTCCTGCATAGTTTTCGGCTAATAAATTAATTTTTGGAGGAACCACCGCAACATATACGATACTTTTCGTTACTTATTTTTGTAAAGCGTTTGTTTTTTAACGACACAATCGTTTGTTCCAACGGTTGTTATTGTGGACGATGTACTTCTCATGTTGCCCCTTATCGCGTCGAGTTGTTTATCATCTTGAAATTCTATCTCTTTGCCGGTTCGAGGCGTTTTTTCGTAGAAGTGATTAGCCAGGACGAGCTGTTTGCGTGCAGTTGGATAATAAAATTATTATGTGCTTGTATGCGCGTGTCCGCGTCTGTGATTTCGCAGAAGAGATTGTCCTTTTTTTTTTTCGTTTATTTATTTAACTTTTGCATGTTTGTTCTATTTTTTTCTAAAACGCAGAGATGGAGAGAAAGATGGTTCACACTGAGGCACAGCGGGGAATTGCCCGGCCAGTACTTTTTGGAGTATTACACAGACGGCAGGTGCAGGAAACTCAAAGGCAAGATCGATCTCGATCAGTGCGAACAGGTATATTGTTATACTTGATAGTTATTTATTTTTCACGAATTAATATATATATATATATATATATATATCGATTGAATGTGTTTGTTGAATTTCCGCAGGTCGATGCGGGCTTGAGTTTCGAAAACAGAAAAGAAAAGTACCAGCACATGTTCAACATAAAAACGCCAAAAAGAATTTACTATCTCGTGGCGGAAAACGAGTCTGTCATGAACAAGTGGGTGGATGCCATTTGCCAAGTGTGTGGATTGAAGGCTTACACCCAGGACGACGATCAGCAGTCACAAGGTTTTAACGTCATTTTGACTCATTCTCACATAATGTATATTTACGATCACTCGATCATTAGGCTGCGTTTTATCGTTTTCAGTGTTTTCATTTGACACGGGAGAATCGCCGCCTATCTCGCCGACCAGCACCTTGTCGAACCCGTACATTCCGATAAGCGAGTGTATATCGGGGCCACGCCCAATCGACGATAACAATTTTGTTAATCACCACCATGGTGTACATAAACATATCGACCATTACGACGCTACGAAAAGACTGATGCCGACACCCCCGAGGTCTCCAACAATCACCGACGCCGATAGCGTCATTACCGACGACGAGTCCCTTCCTTCTTCGCTGCCCAACGTTAACTGGGATACTTTCCCTTCTGCTGGTACCTACATATACTCAACGACTGGTGCACGTTTTTACAAAGAAAGAAAAAAAAACCAACGTGCCGCTCGTTTTTTTTTTTTTTGTTGCAGGTGACTTGAAGCCAAATTTCAAATCGAAGAAGCGATTTGGAAAACTGAAAACGGAGCCAGTCGTTGTCGCCGCTCCTAAACAGGGAACGATTCCACCGAGGCCGCCGAAACCAAGTCACAACTATTTGAATTTGGACGGCGTGACTGAGAACGCAAAGCCGAGCGCGTTGCCCACGCCCACCCAATTATCGAATGACCTGTTGAACAATTCGAGTAGCACGCCTTTGAAAACTCGACAGGTAGCGATAACGAAAGCGGACGTCAATACGTTGAACAAACTGCAAAAGTTGCAGCAGAACACGAAAAAAATCCTCAACACGGACGACCACGTGTTTCGTTACGATTTCGACAACAACGTCGAACAATCGGACGTATCGTCGGTCAAGTGCTCGAACCTGTCGATGAGCCCTTCCAACAAGGACAAAAACAACGCAGTGCCCATGATAATCGTGCCACCGCCGCCCCCGCCGCCATTAGTCAATAGAGGATTGAAGCCGGGCAGGAAAACTAGTGATTCGAATCAAAGCCATGAACTGTCTCCTACTGTAAGTAACAAAGATGCCAGTGAACTCTTTGCAGAACCACCCAGTATCAATAGAAGGTTGAAACCGGCTCATGCTAAATCGCCCGACAGAGGTAAGCGAAAATTATCACATGTACACCCCATACACGGCATCGATGATCATCATCATATTGATTATATAAATTACATGTAGATTTGACGCAACTTGACTCGCCTTCCGTGAAGAGAAAAACCAAACCGATTCCTAGTCCAATAATGATGTCCAAGTTACAGAAAGGTCGTCTACCGTCGGTATCGGACGACGAAAACGTATTCGACGAGAAAGAAAAAGTTTGTAGAGATTACACAAGGGCATGTCGTATTTTTTTTTTTCCAACGTGTGGCTTGACAATTTACCGAGCGATTGTTTGTTTGCAGATATACTACTACCATGACAATGAAAACCAAGTACCGGCGTCGAACCGCAACCTGGTGATTTTGCAATACGTAGATTTAGATTTAGACACCGACAATGCAAATAGTCCTACTGTGCAGCAGCAGCAATCTCCGTTGGCCACTACAGTGTACAAAACTGTCGATTTTGTTAAAACTGAAGCATTCAATCGCACAAGACAGAGGGTCGAGGAAGAGAGAAAGCAATGCAACGACGAATTGACATAGTTTAGTCGTTTCAACAGATTGTAAAAAAAAAAATTCAAGTGCTATTTGGAAAAATGTGCTTCCACGATTATCTTATGTTATCGGTACATTTATTTACCGATTTTTATCACGCGGTGCAGAAGAGATGTTAAATTTAAGGACAAATCGAAGAAATGGTGAGGACTTTCTCTTCTGTGGTTACCTTTAGAAAATGTAGAGGCAAATTAAACGATTGATATACGGAAAATGTTAAAATTGTAGAAAGTCTGAGAAAACAAGGACCAAAAAAGAAAAAGAAAGAAAAAAAATTGAGTCAACACGATCGATAGCAATTGAAATCACGAAATAATTTGTGATATAAGTTCACTAGTTAAAAATATTTAGTATTATTTATTCTTGGTTGATCAAAGTAATAAAAAAAAATATATATATTTAGTTTTTAGATAAAATGCTTTAAAACAAATTTTATAGGAAAGTTTATTTGTACATTGAACAGCGATTTGTGATCTGTATGACGAAATGTCGTTTGCCATTTAATTTCGACGTAATATATTTACATACATGCATATATTTATATCTTCTCGATTATTCATCGACTCAAAATTATATCGAACCTCGTTAACGTTGAATAAAATATATAGATTCCATATATTTTTCTACGTAGATAAATACGTGTTCGTGTATGTGTACATCCGATAGATTTTTTTTAAATGTATTTCCATTATTTTTTTTTTGTAAATCTATGATGAAAAAAAATTTTTATCATCAATGACTTTTCACATAAAACTTCAAAATTTGTACAAAATATCGAATAAAAAGAAAAAGTTTACCCAAACAAACATACATAAGTAGACTCTTAATAAAAAATTCAAATCCTACCAATTTAGCCTCCTACAAAAGGGGGTGATATTTGGTCGATTAAGGTGTTTGAAGCGCTCCCCGAGCAACCCCCCAGAATACAGAGGGTCATCCCAGAACTATTGAGGCATATATAGGTATTGTGCTGCACACATGTGCTGCGTACCACAATCGATAAGATCCCCGTCGTCCGACTATTCGCTCCGAGCCGATGCAGAGGTTGCGCCCCCTCTAGCCAAAATTGGGCAACATTTCTTGCATGTAAACAAACGGTTTAGAACATATATACATACGTACAGCTGCTTGTGATTGGCACTTGGCAAGCTAGAGAGAGAACGACGATCCTCTCCTGCTGTCTTATTCAGCCAATCACAAGCAGCTATACGTATGTATATATGTTCTAAACCGTTTGTTTACATGCAAGAAATGTTGCCTGATTTTGGCTAGAGGGGGCGCAACCTCTGTATCGGCTCGGAGCGAATA